TGCACTTATCCACGTTAAATGTCAGCTGCGTTTTTCTAGTTTACCTAGATCATTTGCCATTTGGCTTATCCCTCCTGGAACATCAACCCTGTTACATATCTTAGTATTATCAGCAAAAAGATATACCTTACCCTCAAAACCTGCAATATCACTAATAAAAATATTAAAGAGAATGGGTCCAAGTATAGATCCCTGAGGTGACAAGACCATGCTTCGAATATACTCCATTAACTACAACCCGTTGTCACTCAGCCACTGCCTTACCCATTCAACAATCTTGAAATCCAAACTTAAAGATTGTAATTTATTGATAACCCTTCTACGTGCAACAGTGTCAAAAGCCTTACTGAAATCTAGGTAAGCAATGTCTACTGCACCACCCTGATCTATTATTTTAGTTACCCAATCAAAAAAATCAAACAGATTAGTTTGGCATGATCTCCCTGAAGTAAATCCATGTTGTTTCTGATCTTGAAATCCATGTGATTTTAGATGTTCAACAATCATATCCTTTAACATGGTTTCCATTACTTTCTCCACTACTGAAGTAAGGCTAACTGGCCTATAGTTGCCCGACTCCTCCCTACTACCTTTCTCATGAATGGGCACAACATTCGCTAAATTCCAAACTTCTGGGAATCTTCCTGTTAACAATGATTGGTTAAATAAATCTGTTAAAGGACCACTATAGGCACCCAGACCACTTCAGCTTAATGAAGTAGTCTGGGTGCCAGGTCCACCTAGGATTAACCCTTTCTGCTGTAAACATAGCAGTTTCAGAGAAACCTTTATGTTTACCTATGGGTTAATCCAGCCTCTAGTGTCTGTCTCATTGACAGCCGCTAGAGGAGCTTCCCCGCTTCTCACTGTGATTTTCACAGTGAGAAGATGCCAGCATCCATAGGAAAGCATTGAGAATGCTTTCTTATGGACTTACTGAATGCGTGCGCGGCTCTTGCCGAGCATGCGCATTCAGCCGATAACATCAGAAGAGGGAGGAGAGTCCGGCACTGGAAAAAGGTAAGGGATTAACCCCCTTCCGCCCCCTTCAGTGCAGCGGGAGTGGGACCCTGAGGATGTGGGTCACCCTCAGGGCACTATAGTGCCAGGAAAATGAGTTTGTTTTCCTGGCACTATAGTGGTCCTTTAACCCCTTCCCGACCCAGGACGGTTCAGGACCGTCATCGGGATTTTCCCATTGTGGACCGATGACGGTCCTGAACCGTCCTAACGGTTTCCGTTACTTACCTGATCGCCATCGTTCCCCCGGCGGCGATCAGTGTTGCTCTGGTTGTGGGGAGACTGCCTGAAGCCCAGACAGTCTCCCCACACTGATTTAGGACCCCTGTGGCCATGTGATCGCTTAACACAGCGATCACATGGTCACAATAGGTGTCCATAGTGCTGCCTGCAGGGGGACTGTCTGTGCTGACAGGCAGTCTCCCTGCTAGTGTAAAATCAAAAAATAAAATAAAGTTAGTGTTAATTAAAAAAATAATAATTATATATATGATATATAGACATATATTATATCTATATAATATATGTCTATATATCATATATATAATGCCATACTAAGTGTATTTTTATATTAATATGTACTTATATTAATATAAAAATACACTTATTAAATTACACACGTGTATATATAATATATATAATAACTATATATATATTGTGTGTGTGTGTGTGTGTATATATATATATATATATATATTATAATATAAATAATTAATTTAAATTAAATACATTTTTTTAAAATAATAATAAAAAATGTAAAAAAAATTATAGCTATATGAAATTTTATTCTAACTGTATTTTAAAATTAATATATATATATTTATATCAAAATACACTTAGAATGAATTTGTATATATATCTATGTATATAAAAATAAATAAAAATAATAAGAAATATACATACGTCCATATACAAAATTACATAAATAATTATATAAATATACACGTAGACTTCAAATATATAAATATGCATATATATTTAAATTCTACGTGCGTATTTATGTAATATTTTTACATAATTCAGTAATTTTATTGATTGCAATTTGAGGGACCTGCCTGCCAACCCAGGCCGAAATTCCAGAGAATTTAATTTGCTAGCACTGTATTTTACCCTGTAACGTTCTACGACACCCTAAAACCTGTACATGGGGGGTACTGTTTTACTCGGGAGACTTCGCTGAACACAAATATTAGTGATTCAAAACAGTAAAACATATCACAGCGATGATATTGTCAGTGAAAGTTACTTTTTTTGCATTTTTCACACACAAACAGCACTTTTACTGATGATATAATTGTTGTGATACGTTTTCCAGTTTTTAAACACTAATATTTGTGTTCAGCGATGTCTCCCGAGTAAAACAGTACCCCCCATGTACAGGTTTTATAGCATTTTTGAAAGTTACAAGGTCAAATATATGGGTCAAATATTTTTACATTGAAAATGGCCAGGTTGGTTACGTTGCCTTTGAGAGCGTATGGTAGCCCAGGAATGAGAATTACCCCCATGATGGCATACCATTTGCAAAAGAAGACAACCCAAGGTATTGCAAATGGGGTATGTCCAGTCTTTTTTAGTAACCACTTGGTCACAAACACTGGCCAAAATTAGCGTTCAATTTAGTTTTTTTACTTTTTTCACACACAAACAAATATGAATGCTTACTTTGGCCAGTGTTTTCGACTAAGTGGCTACTAAAAAAGACTGGACATACCCCATATTGAATACCCTGGGTTGTCTACTTTAAAAAAAATATGTACATGTGGGGTGTTATTCAGAGATTTATGACAGATAATAGTGTTACAATGTCACTATTGATAAATTTTAAAAATGTATGTTTTGAAACCGCAATATCCTACTTGTATCTATAGCCCTATAACATGCAAAAAAAAGCAAAAAAGCACGTAAACACTGGGTATTTTTAAACTCAGGACAAAATTTTGAATCTATTTAGCAGTTTTTTTCATTCGCTTTTGTAGATGAGTAAAAGATTTTTCAAGTAAAAGTCAAAAAACATGTATTTTTTCATCATATTTTTTTATTTTTTTTAAATAATGGTATGTAAAGAAAGCCCCTTTTGTCCTGAAAAAAACAATATATCATTTGTATGGGAACAGTAAATGAGAAAGCGGAAAATTACAGCTAAACACAAACACCACAAAAGTGTAAAAATATGCCTGGTTGCAAATGTACAACATCGCATAAACAGTCCAGTCCTTAAGGGGTTAATGGTTTTGCTAGTACACCATTAAGCTCTTTTAATACCTTTTGAGTGTATTCCATCAGATCCCATTGCCTTATTTGTCTTTACTTTTGACAGTTGACATTAAACCTCTTCCTCTGTACACTAACATGTAGCAAATTACTAATTTCTCCTTTTTCCTAACTGAGGCCCCTTTCCTTCATTTTCATCTGTAAATACTGAACAAAAATATTAATTGAGGCAGTCAGCTAGACCTTTATTCTCTTCTACATACCTTCCTTCTTTTGTTTTTAATATAACTAATCCTTTCCTTTCCTTTTCTCATTTATGTATCTAAAGAATGTTTTGTTCCCTTTTACTGACTGTGCTATTTTCTCTTGTGTGTGATTTGGAAGCTCTTATAACTTGCTTAGCCTCTTTCTGCCTAATCTTAAAAATATGTCTCTTCCTCACTCTGTTTTTTTTTTTCTAATTACTAAATGCTAACTTTTTGTTTTTTACTATTTTGGCCACAGCTGCAGGGTACCACAGTGTTTTCTTAATTTTTTGGCTTTTACTGACAAGCCTAATGCAATTTTCTGTCGCCTTCAGCAGTGCAGCTTTTAAAGAATCCCATTTCTCTTGGACTCCATTTAAACTGCTCCAGTCTGATAATGACTGCTTTACATATATTCTAATTTTAGAAAAGTCTGTTTTTCTAAAGTCTAAAACTTTTTTTGTTGTGTGGTGTGACTCCGCCACTGTTCTTATATTTAACCAACAGCTTCTACTGCTACTGATGCAAATCCACCTGCAAAGTTGCCACATATCTGTATTATTTATTGAAGAAGCAGAAAAAGAAAGCAATAGGGCTGGCAGCATGTTCAATAGAGCTATATACTGACCAGTACTCTCTCCTACACTACTACTCCCCCCAACCTTAAGTACGAGAAGTTGACAGAGACAGGTTGGACAGGAACAGTGAGACGCCTCTCCATCTGGTGAATAAAAAAAAAAGAAGAAAATATAAAGCTTCCTCTTGTCTTTCTGCTGCTTCCATTATCACATACACTCACATTGATTCACTGATGTACAATTGTTTTACTGATTTTTGATTATTTTTCTATTAAGTGTGACGGAGCTCCCTGTACCCCTGGCTGCGTACCTCTGCCAAGGACTACTTCCTAGCTGGAACAGGGGGCAAACCGCAGCACTTCTGCCCACAGTCACCATGGCTTGACTGGGGACCTGGAACCGCTTCCTCCTGGAGCTGAATGAAGAATTCGCTCTAGACCGCTCCAGGCACTGGACGACACTTAGTCCTGGGAGCTCTAGTCCTTACAAGTACTTCCCCCGTTGAATCCTCCACGCTGGAACAAGCTTGAACAGTGATTAGCCCTTTCCCCTCCCAGTAACCAGACGACACATATTTCTGGGAATACGAGCTGGAATATGTTTAATGGCAGCCACAACTGGCCTTATATGCAGGTCACCGTGCAAGGGGCACTCCCCCATGGACATGACAGACTACAGTAAAAACATACACATGATTACATTGGCTCCAAGGTTCAGGTCACTCCTATACAAAACAAGATAATCCCTCCCCTGTACCTGTGAGATAATTGAGTCAAGCACTGTATTATACTCAATTATATCCAAGCACAAAAAACACACATTTCCCAACCACCCCAAAAGTACCTTAAAAATACATAAAACCCCACAAAAGTTACATCCCATGATAGCCCCAATATGGGTGACCAACATATCCAAAACTCACCCAGATCGGTTAAGGGTTTCAGGAATTTCCTGCAAGTCATAATTTGACCGACCGCACGCATGGTCCCTTAGCCGAAAAAAGTTCCATAGAATCGTGGCAAAGTGCCGCTGGGGACCGACTGGGAACTGCGAAGTCTTCATGACGAAAATAGTTCCAAGGAATTATGGCTAGGTCCCCGTGAAGTCTATTCGCAGGTTTGGTCCATGCGAACGGCCGCCAGGGAGCTATCGTTTGGTTCTATGCGCACGAATGGAAAGTGCCAAACCAGGGGGAATAAAATATGGGTCTTTACAGTCACTGATCTGGCCCATAGTCAGTGGGCAGGAGGCTGACAAGCAGACTCCTCCTGGAGCTCATGGCAACTCTCGAGGACAGGGGAGTTTGCCACAGTGAGCAACTGTTTATTTCTTTAGTAAGTAATGGTTTATTTCATTTGCAGTGTGCCTCTGAAAATGTCAACTCTCAAAGTTCAAGCCTCTTCCCCAGTGTGTGGTGGTAGTTTACTGTGCAATAAGTGGCAGGTACTTTTTTTATTTAATTTTATTTACTCTTAAAAAAATCTTTAAAAAAAAAAGTATTATAAAATGTGGTGGTGATGCTGGTAATGTTTTTAGATGACTTTCATTGTAGTGTTTTCAACCCTGTTTTCAATTCTTATGGCTATACCTGCTACGTCCGCAGATGCACTTGGTAGAAATAGACAGAGCACTGTTTTTTGGGTTTTTTCTACACTGGGATTTTTGTCCATTTTTTTTGTCAGACAGATTACTTGTTTTGCAGTGTGCTTCTGTGCCCCTACTTGTGTTTTGGAAACTGCAAACACTTTCCATTAGTATTTCATAAGTGTGTAGATGCAGTTTACTGCACAAATGAACCCTGCCCTCACTGAGTTTGGCAGTTGTAGTATTGCAGGCAGGATACAGCATCACTGAAGATGAATAATCAGTTTGCAAAGTCTTTTATTCTTTAACCCCTTAACAACGTTACGGCGTTCTATGCTGTCGCGGCTTTAAAGGGCTTTAAAGCCGTTGCGGCGGCATAGAAAGCCGTAATGGCTTAAGCCCCCAGGACCTCCGCGGTACTTACTTCCGCCGCGATCCTCTTCTGGAGGGCTGCCTGACAGCCCAGGCAGCCCTCCTCCGGCAAGTGAGGCCCCCGGGGGCCATGTGATCGCTCTCAAAGAGCGATCACATGGCCCCCTATAGCTGGCTGTGGATCTGCCAGCAGGGGGACTGTCTGAAATATCAGACAGTCCCCCTGCTGGTGGAAAGTGTAAAAAAATAAAATAAAAAAAAATTAGACGTGTAAAAATAAATTAAAAGTCTGTATGTGTGTGTGTGTGTATGTATATGTGTGTAACGTCATACAAAGTGTATTTTAATACTAATATTAGTGTATATATATTAATATTAAATATGTATATATATTATCTATATAATAGATATATACACATATTATATATCTATATGTATAATTACAATAATAAATAAATAAATATTGAAACAAAATTTAATATAAATTATATATTCATATGTAATTTCATTCTAACTGTATTTTGTTATTAATATATATATATATATATATGTAACAAAATACACTTAGAATGACATTCTATATATATCTATCTATATATAAAATACAAATAACCGTAAATAAAAAAAAAAATATATATATATATATATATATATAGAGAGAGAGAGAGATAACTACATATAATTACATTAATATACACGTAGAATTGAAATACCTATAAAAGCATATATATTCAAATTATATGTGTATATTTAAGTAATATTTTAACATAATTATGTGATTTGATTAATTAAAATTTGATTGACATGCCTGACAACACAGGGAGAAAGTACAGAGAATTTAATTCGCAAGCACTATATTTGACCCTGTGACTCTCCAAGACACCATAAATCCTGTACATAGGGGGTACTCTTGTACTCAGGAGACTTCGCTGAACTCAAATATTAGTGTTTCAAACTGGTAAATTGTATTACAACAATTATATTTTAAGTAAAAGTTAAGTTTTTTGCATTTTTTACAAACGGCGCTTTTATGGACTATATTATTGTTGTAATATGTTTTACTGTTTTAAAACACTAATATTTGTGTTTAGTGAAGTCTCCCGAGAATAACAGTACCCCCCATGTACAGGTTTTATGACCACTTAGTCACAAACACTGGCCAAATGTTAGTTTTTTGCTTTTTTTCACACAAAAACAAATATAAACGCTAACTTTGGCCAGTGATTGTGACTAAGTGGCTACTAAAAAAGACTAAACATACCCCACTTTCAATACCTTTGCTTGTCTACTTTTTCAAATAGTATGCCATTATGGGGGTAATTCTCATTCCTGGGCTACCACACCGTCTCAAAAGTAACATTACTAGTCTGGCAAATTTCAATTTGAAAATGGAACGTTCTGTATTTGACCCTGTAACTTTCCAAAACACCATAAAACCTGTTAATGGGGGGTACTGTTGTACTCGTGAGACATCGCTGATTACAAATATGTGCATTTGTTTGTTTTTTTACTTTTACTTGAAAAATCTTTTACTCATCTACAAAAGCGAATGAAAAAAACTGCTAAATAGATTCAAAATTTTGTCCTGAGTTTAAAAATACCCAGTGTTTACGTGCTTTTTTGCTTTTTTTTGCATGTTATAGGGCTATAGATACAAGTAGGATATTGCGGTTTCAAAACATACATTTTTAAAATTTATCAATAGTGACATTGTAACACTATTATCTGTCATAATCTCTGAATAACACCCCACATGTACATATTTTTTTTAAAGTAGACAACCCAGGGTATTCAATATGGGGTATGTCCAGTCTTTTTTAGTAGCCACTTAGTCGAAAACACTGGCCAAAGTAAGCATTCATATTTGTGTGTGAAAAAAGTAAAAAAAATAAATTGAATGCTAATTTTGGCCAGTGTTTGTGACCAAGTGGTTACTAAAAAAGACTGGACATACCCCATTTGCAATACCTTTGCTTGTCTACTTTTTCAAATAGTATGCCATTATGGGGGTAATTCTCATTCCTGGGCTACCACACCGTCTCAAAAGTAACATTACTAATCTGGCAAATTTCAATTTGAAAATGGAACGTTCTGTATTTGACCCTGTAACTTTCCAAAACACCATAACACCTGTTAATGGGGGGTACTGTTGTACTCGTGAGACATCGCTGATTACAAATATGTGCATTTGTTTGCAGTAAAACCTAACAGTATTATGACATTTACAGCTAAAATGTGAGGCAGAACTACATATTTTTTAAAAAAATTAAAAATTTCTCAGTTTTTTACATTTTATTCATAATACATTATGTTTCATATATAAATATTTGATATGAAATGAATCCCTGTTTCTCCTGAACAAAATGATATATAATAAGTGTGGGTCCATTTAATATGAAAGAGGTGAATTACGGTTGAACAGACATATAGATCAAATTCCAGTTTTTGTTTACGTTTTGTTTTGATCTGAACGTGTACTATTGACTCCGTCCTGAAGGGGTTAACTGCGTGCTGTGTAAGAGTAGTCAAACACAATAACATTACAGTAGTAGTAAATCCAATAAACAGCAACCTGTTTTTGAATACAAACACAAGACGAGATAGAACTACGACAATGACAAAAATTGTAAAAAAAGTTGAACAGGAGCAGCAGTAATGCCAATTATCAACAGAGGCAGGTTTGACAGGGACAGTTAGTCTAGTCATCATCCCAGGGAAGTATCCATCAACTCACTCTTGAACATTTTGTTGGATTCTATTCCAGGGCCATCTTGAAACAGCAGTCTAACAAAATCTCCTTCCTGATTGCCCATATTTATGAAGTGCTCCTACTAGACAGCATGTCTTTCGTTCCTTAAAAGCACACTGGTGGCCGCCCACAGTGCCAGGATATAGAGGTGATAGTAGAGAAATTCAAGCATTACTGCAAACCATATTTGAGCATTGCAGGAGAATTGCCAGGCATTTCCATTATAGTGTGAGGGCTAGCCAACTCTTGAGGTAGAAGCATAAGACAACAGGGCTCTGGCTGAATGTCAGCACACAGTTAAACTCCACTTTAGACATGGTGGAAAGAATTTTAGAACAGCAGAAGGCAATCCATAGTCTGTCTTCCCACCACTCTATAATAGGGCAACTAGTATCAGTTCTCATTTCATTTAAGGATGTGACAGAAACTCTTCGCCACAGTAATGCCAGTTTAGTACATCATGTGAACAAGGGGGTAACCATGTTAAAAAAAAATAGCTTTATTTTAATTTCTGCCACTCCCCCTTTTTAAAATTGTTTTTATTGTAGTGGTTTTGTCTTAGCTGCCTGCATGAGTCTTCTGGTACCTCCTACCTCCCAAGACACCGTTGGGAGAAGCTGGTTGATCGTTAAAAAGATTATTAAAACTAATTTACTTAACTTGCTGCTGCTGCAACCCCCCCTTTTTCAAATGCCTTTTATTTTAATGTTATTGCCCTGCCTAATTAAATATCAGTGCCCGCTACATCCACAGACATACCGTGTTTCCCCGAAAATAAACCCTACCCCGAAAATAAGCCCTAGTCGGATTTTCGGGGTGGGCTGCAATATAAGCCCTACCCCGAAAATAAGACCTAGGCATTGTACCTTTGCGGCGAGACTTCCTTCTTCTGCTGTAGGAGGAGCGTCGCGCAACGTGATGACGACATTTTGCAGCGCCGTCAGTCCGCCTTCACGGATCTTCAGCGGAAGGATCCATTTCCGGGCGGTGAGGCTCCCAGTGGTCGGACTCGGCAAGGAATCTTTGAAATGTGAGTACCGCTAGATATTTTATGTCTGGGATTAATTGAATTAATTAAAGGGGGTGGGGGTGGGGTGAATTAATTAAAGGGTGGGCTGGATTAATTAGAGGGGGGTGAATTAATTAAAGGGTGGGCTGGATTAATTAGAGGGGGTGAATTAATTAAAGGGGTGGTGAATTAATTAAAGGGTGGGCTGGATTAATTAGAGGGTGGTGAATTAATTAAAGGGGGTGAATTAATTAAATGGTGGACTGGATTAATTAGAGGGGGTGAATTAAGTAAAGGGGTGGTGAATTAATTAAAGGGTGGGCTGGATTAATTAGAGGGGGTGAATTAATTAAAGGGTGGGCTGGATTAATTAGAGGGGGGTGAATTAATTAGAGGGGGGTGGATTTATTAAAGGGTACCGTACCGGTACCGGTACCGTAAAT